CTCTAAATCTAGCCCCTCTGGGTATAGCTGTCCCAAATCCTCTTACTCAGGCTCTTTATCTGCAGTTTATAAATCACATCGCTCACTCTTTTCCGGGCCTGGGATCCCTGCAGGGAAGTTCTTGCATTCTGGTCTCTGTGGTTATGTCTCTCTTCCTCACTTGGATGTCTTTAGGTCCCCGTCATGCTTTCTAACTAAGGAATAGCTAAGAGTCTCCCCATTTTTGTAATGCTCATTTTAAGAATAGTTGGGCACATCTGTCCTTTCCTTATACATTGTTCTACCCTGGACTTCACAATCTCACCTTCCCTTCATGTATGTCCAGGCTGTCGTCCCAGATCTCGTCTTCTTAAGGAAATAGCTCTGTTCCTGTAGCAAATCATCAAGTATTTATTATCTCTCTTGTACTGTTTTTGTTCTAATTGTAAGACCAGAGTGTGCTGTCAAATCCTCTGTGGTGCCCTGTGCAAACCTGAGTTCTAAAAACCAAATTGTTTTGTTTTTAAATATGCCTGTTGATCTCAGAGAGAGGAAGGGAGAGGAAGAGGGAGAGAGAGAGATAGAAATGTCAGTGATGAGAAAGTCATTGATCAGCTGCCTCCTGCGTGCCCCCAACTGGGGATGGAGCCCACAGCTGGGGCATGTGTCCTAACCGGGAATCGAACTGCAATCTCCTGGATCCTAGGTCGATGCTCAACTGCTGAGTCATGCCAGCTGGGCTAAAAACCAAGTTTTTAAAGGCCTGCCTTTAAAACTGCTTTCTCACCTGTTAGGTTTACAGTAACTTTATGGAGCTTTTTTCTCAACTTCAGTCCAAGAAGATGGCCTATTCTCTTTGGGTCCCCATTTCTTTTGCTTTATCTGTTAATTAATCTGTTACCTTCTATAGGTATGAAGTTGAAATGTATGCGCAGTCTAGAGCTATAATCATAGTCTATACAATCACTAAATCCAGAGGTACCCTGAGACTGAGTAGGGAGAAAGCTTGAGGTTTTTGGTTTTGGCTTTTTTGTTTGTTTGTTTCTGGGGATTTTTTTTTGGGGGGGGAGGCTAACTAAACCTTCACTATACCCGTGATATACATTAGGTACTCTACTAGAACTCTCACATGCATTTTTATTTAATCCTCATAATAAGCCTATAAGATAATTACAAGGTCATTTTAACCCTTTAGAAATACATACTTTGGTTCCTATTTCACATAATCAAAGAACTGCCTCTGCCACCGATGCTCTGTTAATATATTATGGGCACAATACCTGTCACAACCTGTGGTACACGTGAATTGCATTATAGTTTACGTATACTTCATGTGTCTGTAGTTCATACAGAGAGTGGAACAGAGGTTTCCAGCATTGCTGGTAAAATACCTATATTCTGAATAGATGATAACAGCTCTCCCTCATTTTTTTTGGCTGTTGGACCCTCAAAATCACTTGGTCTGGCCCTGCCAAGGCAACCACATGTGGCACTCAAAATTCAATAAATCTAGGAGCTTTTTTCATAGCTAATTTTTAAGTTGATGATTTTGTATGACCCATGAATGATGTTATAAATATCCAAATGGCCCTTGGCAGGAATAAGGTTCCCCACCCCTGCTTTACTCAGAAGCCTATATCACTTAATTCTTAAATGAAGTCTCATTTTTCAGTTGAGAGGACACTGAAGCTCGAAAAGGTTGACTAATTATGTGCCTAAATTGCTAATAAATGGTGCAGCCAAGATTTGTGCCCAGGCAGCTGGATTCTTAACCACTCTGCCCTACTACCTCCCTGTAAAACCAGGAGCTGGAAAGTCTTCATGAGGGAGAATGTCACGAGTTACAGGTGTGGAAAACTATGCAAACAGAGAGGCTCTAACTTGGCAATTGGCAAGTTATATTAGATTCCATTAATATAATGGCATTGTTGTGTGACACATGAATTAGAAATTGCTGATGAATAATAGATCGTATCAACTGTTTCTCTGAACCGAAGACTTTCCGGGAGAACTTTTTGCACATTTCATTTTAGAACAACTAAAATAACATCATTTCCAGAACAATTTGATTTGTTTTATGCATCTAAAAAAAAAAAA